ACATCAGTTAGGTATAACTATGCGCTTTGGCGTTTGAAGCTATAAGTATTGGATTCTAATCTCAGTGGGCACATCACTTACTGGTGTGTGCGAGTTCAAAACAGGACAAGGCATACATCCTAGATTCCAACACTAATCTCTAGGTAAGTTACAAAGTATTATGAATATCCAGGTAGTACAGGGGCATCATTGACAGGATTAAGACAAAGTTGCCGCCTGCTATCACCGATCATCACCAACAATCTGGCAGAAGAGGGGAGGCGGGGTGGGGCGAGACGAGGCGAGGCAGCGAAGGGAGACGGGACTTCCTTCGAGTGAAGGTCGAGAAGAGGACAGAGGTGATGAAGATACCCAACCAACAACAACAGCAAACGCCAATCACCATCAATGGGAGAGATCTGAAGGAAGTTGTTGCTTCCACCTACCTACCTACCTACCTACCTACCTACCTACCTACCTACCTACCTACCTACCCACCTACCTACCTACCTACCTACCTACCTACCTACCTACCTACCTACCTACCTACCTACCTACCTACCTACCCACCTACCTACCTACCTACCTACCTACCTACCTACCTAGGCAGCATCATCTCAATTACGGGTGGCGGCGGCACAGATGAGGATGTCAAGGCAGCCAGAATCGGAAAGACAGCAAGACAGGTCCTCCTTCATTAATCTATAAAGATCAGTGTAGAGATCTACTGCACTCCACTCCACTGCACTCCACTCCACTCAGCATAAAGCAAGAACAACATCCGGGTTCTCAACACTAAGTCAGTCAAGTAAGTTGGTGCTTCTGTGTGATGGTTGGGAGAATTGACGCCTTACGAAAAGCATTTCCAACTAACTACAGACATCATATATCACATGAACAGTTGCCACCTACGCTCACTCGATACTGAAGATCAGACCACATCACATCACATCACATCAGATGGATGGATGGATGGATGGATGGATGGATGGATGGATGGATGGATGGATAGTCAGGATAATAAGAATGAGGAAGGAGGAACTCAGTGTGGCCTGGCAACCAACCAACCAACCAACCAGCAACACATCGTCCAACAAATATGTGGAAGAGGAAGAAGGAAGTGGAGATGGTTTGAACAGTATTGGGCATAGACTGAGAAGACGATTTGGGACATGACGCGTGATGCCAGATCAGGCCAGGTCAGGTCAGGTCAGGTCAGGCCATGCTGTTGAGTGGAAATCAAATGGGAAACGACGAGTTGGGTATCCGAGGCGAGTGTGATACGGAGGAGATTGTGTGAGGAATAGATGAGAGGTTGTGGTGAGTTGTGTTGTGAGGTTTGAAAGACTGGAGAGAATAGAGTGAGATGGTGACGTGCTACTGATGTCGTATGTTCCACTGGGAACCCAACGTAAAAATATTAATAATAATACTATTCGTAGTAGTTCCTTGATCACGGAAATGTTTATTTTTTTGTTTTGATTTTTTATGCAAAATGGAACAACTTTCCGAATCTAGATTTTGTGATTATCTGTATTTGTTAGTCAGATAGACGTTTTACCTTGGGGATTTTGATACTTCATCTGAGGTCGAAGGAACTAGTTACGGTTAAATGTTTGTAAAGCAGAACGTTCTACATGAATCAGTAGTTTAAACCACTGGCAAAATAATTTTTAGGGTTTATATGTTTTTGAAAACTTCTAATTTTCGTATAGTTTGACTCCACAAGTTGTAATTTTGAAACTGAATAACATGATGATAAATGTGGTGAAAGTGTCGGATTGAAGTGATACATGGGAGAAATATGCATAAAAAGTAACCAAATGACCGTAAGCTTCCTAAATATAAACTCTTCTGGGAACCATGGATTTCATGGTTAGGCCATGTCACTGTTATAGATGCCATAAATCCACGGTCAGGCAAACGGTCTTAAAAATCATCTGCTAAGGCCTTTATGTAACACAAAAATGAACCTTCAAAGGAAGTCAGAGAAACAGTAGTGTAACTGAATACGTACTTTTCCAGCTTTTATGGGAAATGAAAGGATTACTGTATTGGCTGAAGACTTTTCATCTTCTTAAAGATGTAAGTCTACATGAAATGATGTTGCACATTGTTCTATGTTCTTTGAATATTCAGGATTTCCTAGAATGTGTTGTTTATGAAATTATTTCTATGCAAGGTATGATCAAGTTCTAATTAAGTGTCTCATAAAGAAAGATAATTTGTAAAGGAAATCTCAGTAGCATTACTTTTCCCTAGATATAACAGTGGAAAGGATAATGAACGGCAAACAAAACCATCAAAATGAATGGTTGATATTTATGTCAGTCAATAGAACATGGGTTCTACCAGCTGTCTATATGAAGTTTTACTCGCTATGGTTTCGTTCACTAGAATTCATACCAAAGGTCTTTATGATGCATTCTGTTCCACTTGTCCCTGACGACCGTCGGTCCCAACAGTCGTAGAACTGCTAAGTGATGCAAAATTAACGGATCTTGGAAGATGCTGTGATACTTGAAGTGAAGGGTACTGGATTCGATCCGCTGTAGGAACAATATCAATCACTGGGGTGCAGGTACCTCCAGCTGACCAGTACCAAGTAGGACGAAACATGCATTCTGGATTCCTCTGCTCGTCACCTAGATCAGTATAAGATCTTGGAAGAATTAATATGTTACTTCCTTCATATTTAAGTAATTCATTCTCATAATGTACTCCAAGATATACAATTCGGTGCTGTAGTTAGTATGAACACGAAAAACAGTCTAGGTGAACATCTGAAAGATGTCTGTGAACTTGTAGTGAATCAACGGAAGTGTGACTTTTTATCTCAGTAGAATGGAGTTACTCTATCTGAAGCTTCTCCCACTGTAACTGTTAACTAACTGATGATTGGGTAGAAGTTAAACATAGGTTGTTAAGTATGAAAATTGAGTTGTTTAATAGGGTTTCAAATCTTCATGGACTCTGATAGTTTAGATATGTACTACGTATGACTGAACACTTCTTAACTTGACGCACAACACTATTTAGAAAAAACTTGAAATATAAGAAACCGAATGGCAGTCAGATAAGAGAAAATGACATTGGTTCGCTTAATCTTTTACGACTGGTTTTAGCTGTACAGTTTGGGTTCATAGATAGCCTAAAAGAATTACATTCATCCCCCTTCCCAGCATATTTGAGTTGAGTCTTCGGGTGTTCCGACATAGTTTAAGTCAAACAGTTTTTGCTGAAGGAATATGCACCGGAACAAATAAATTGAAGCATGAATATAGACAGTGTGCATAAATGAACCTTAATGTTAAATATAACCATGAACAATCATGCTGCATACAGGCATTGATAAGTTCGTGTTGGAAACAAATATTTGTTGTGATATTATGCAATGCAGAGCAAGAAATTGCATAGCTGAAGAATTAAAGGTTAATTTTTGAAATTATCTCGGATAAATCCCTTTAACACTGAGGACTATCTACTACTACTACTACTACTACTACTACTACTACTACTACTAATAATAATAATAATAATAATAATAATAAATCCCTCTCATTGAAGACAGTAACTTGCACATCAATGTTGTCTACAGATTGAGGTACTGATAGACATCGTTTTTATTTAAACATTATAAAAAGTACACAAAATAATAGTAGTGAGTTGAAAAATAATTCAATGTTTCACATTTGTTGTTAGAAAGGGGTTGGGGGTATATTGATGTTAAAACATTAAAATTTATGCAGACAGTCTTAGTGATTAGTTAAATTACCGTCTAACTGATAAAGCTATAAAATTTGGAAATTATAGGAAAATAATGTCAAATTATATACTGACAAAGTTATTTAATAGTAACCAAGCTAGAAGAAGTACAATAAGTCTATCATCATAACTCTGTTGGTTGTCTTGAAGAGATTGTAATGGAACACAGAAAATGGAGCTTGTACTCAGAAAAGGATGGTTATAAGTTTGTCACAAATAATGTTCAATTCTGGAAAATTATATATCTGTTACTTTATTTATGCTTTCTTTATAGACTATTTCTGTTCTTATTATCTGTTCAGCATATCCTCCAAGCTGATTTATTAAGCTAGTTACTGTATAGTGACTAATTTGTTGACATATTCTAGATCTACAATGAGTTATTCATAACTCTAAGGATTTGATGATACCTTAGGATTAGATGTTCAATAACGTAAGTTCAGTTCTTCTCATAGAACTGTAGCTCAGTCTTTATTACTCAGAGTTAACAAGTGAAAAACTTATTTTTATGATTTTCATCCAACTAATGCTCAATAGTTAACGCTATACAAAGTTCATTGGACTTTTGTATCAGTTATGTTGGTTACTACCTTAGAATTTTGATGAAAATACTTCAGTTAACTCTTTGGACTTGAGAAGTGTGAACTGTAACTCGTTGGTTTAGAGACATAGCTTTCAACTAGTTCGGTTTAAGCGTTCAAATATCGCAAAATTTATGCAGCCAGGTAGTATCATTAACTGTCAAACAATAGGTGTGGTTTATTGCCTACTATACAAATGTGTACAAGGTTTCTGATTTCATTTCGATCTATCAAAAAACTCTCTTCATCAACTATGCAGTCACATCCCTACTAAAAGTAATGCTTACAGTTTCATTTGTTCGACTCTATCGAATTTAATAACATTGTACTAACATTATCGCCTTATTTTAGCTATTTAACATGTATAAAATATATCTGACGTGTATACGTGTTCCAGTCTAAACCGTAGCAAAGTCAACACTCTAGAATCAGGTGATTTAATGTCTAATCAATTGTGTTAGCTTAATTATTCTTGTTATCGTAAATGATATAAATAAGATTGGAATTACGAAATAATTTGTTAGGATTTATTGTTGCTATCATAAACGAAACCCCAGAAGATAGATAAATAAACAAATGAATATCATCATGAAAAGATTAGCACATTTAAAAGAATATTAACTTGGCATGATAAAAATAGAGAAGACACCGATAAAAAAATATGTTTAAACTAACCTTAGGATTTTGTGTTTTTGTGTGTGAATTTGATGATTTCTTCGCTGCATCTAATGAGATAATACGAAGTTTGAGACCACCTTGATTAGATGGAGAAAAATTTATCAAAAAAAAGGCGACAACAAAAAAGAATTTGTGTACAGTATAACACTAACTGTAACACACAAATCAACAGATAGATCGCTTTAGTACACTGAATTTGTCACAGATTTAAAGAATCAAATAGAATGTTAACGAATTTCTCATGAGAATATGGCAGCTACTTAAAAACAACAATTGACATTCAAGGTGTGTATAAGTGGTATTTGGTACTAACTTGGGATTTGTGTCGATTATATATCTTAGAACACTTTAACAGTTACACCTGAAGTCTGTAAATCTCATGATTAGATCATCATCAAGTAAGCTACTAAATGAAGTGAATGTCGAACCGACCGATCTGCATATTCCATCTAGCTTATCAGCATCTAATTTACTCTAGTCTAGGGAACTTTTGAATGAGAGCTAAGGTCGCCTTATTATTCATATCATTCATGATGTATCGTAGACGACAACCTGACCTAGTGCATTGATAATCTCAAGTTGACATAACAATTGCATGTTTGGAGAACTGTTTTCAAGTGAGGAATGTTATGATATAATACAGTAAATTTTGCAAATGGCTTACAAATTACTCACTAATATCAATGAACTGTTAAAGAGTTCATTCGAATGAATTGCTTATTTTCTCGACATAATGCCGTGTAGATTAAGTAGTAACCTTGAATAAACTTTGTCTTACTACAAGATAAAAACTAAAATTATTCTTTGTTATACATCATTACAAGTGCTCCATTTCCTGTTCATTTCTTGTAGTTATCGCCACCATTTTTCAGACATATAAGATGACAGTAAGGGTATTGCAAAGAAACTTACTTTCAGAATGTGAAAAATTTGTTTGGTAAGACATAAAACACGTGATGACATCCCTTTTTTCAATATACAATCCATTTAAGCTATAGTGCTTGTTCCGTCTTCGTTATATGTTCAAAACCCCCTAAATTTTGCAACAACTACATAAAACATCCGGGCAAACTGTATAACACTTATAGTGCAATTTAACTTAGATCTCAGTATGATTAGAAAGATCACACCAATCCGCAGGAGTTCAGTTTAGCGGGAAATGTCAGCAAGCCGCTCAAACGAATCTCTGGAATATATAATATCCTGGAATACTTAATATATGAATGTAACTTCAGTGGAATCATTTACAATATGTATGTCAAAATATTAGGTTTCGAAAACATGGAAAAATCACGCATGTTTACTTTTCAGTACTGACTGTGCTTCTTCGAAGACAAATTCAACCTATTATTCTGTACTAACAACTATGTTGCTTTACAGTAATAGATGATTTCAAAGGAAACAATTCTGTACCCACACTACTGACCAAAATACACATATAGAGCTGGTTCATAGGGGTGAAAATTCAGAAAATGTACAACCGACTATGAGGCTGAGTTGAATAGGTTCATTTATCAGTAGATGCAATTGGATATGTTGTAGGGAGATATGAATAGTTTCGAAATAAGTAGCAATGAGTTTCTGTTATAATATAAGATGCATGTTTGTGAAAGCAATGAATGAGCATCGTCGAGTGAAATAAATGAGTAAGAAGTTGATATACAAGAGTTTTATCAAGGAAATAATACCGTGAGAAGTCATTTTTCATGTAAGTAGTTGTAAAACAGTGGTAACTGATTAACCATTTACTTCGACAGGTTTTCAGTTAAGCAGCAAGAACAATAGTGATAGAATTAGCGTGCATGTATTAGATTTCTTGGATTCCCCTCAGCTACTTTATAACCTATAGTATATAGTGTTAATGATGAACAGTATGTCATGAAACGTACTTTATTAAGTTGACAAGAACTTTTCGAATTGAGGTAGAAGGTAACAAAGATTTAGGTTGACTGATATTAATGTCGTTAAAACTACTCATAGGCTAACTATTTATATACAGTGATAGTATGAATATTCGAGAGAAGATAGTAAGAGAGAATTGGGAGGTAATTATTCTAGAAATGATATACAAAGACGTCATGGTTAAGCATAATAAAATATCAGTCTACGATGAATAACAACTTGAAAAATATCATTATATTGAGTGATAAGATGAACACAATTCAGAAAGTGAGAGTAGGTTTTAAAAGTGACCAAAAATAGACCGATAAAAAAAACTAAAGGCCATGAGGTTACGAAATCTTGTACTTGTAAATTTAGGAGGTTAAAATCACCAAGGCAATGCGAGATTGATGACAGTATCTTTCTGAATAGATAGATCATGTTTCAGTCTTTTAATTGGAACTGCTTAAGCGAACCGTGAAAGAGTGGATTTCAGTTGTTTAATTATCACTTTGAATGACTTTAATATGTCGACTTTGCGTCCATTATCAAGCAAATGCCGGGTGACAGTACTATTTAAACCCAGTGGACCCTCCAGATTCAAATTCTTCAAGATGTGTTCAGAAATGCATACAATAACCCGTATTTCTTTTCTTCTGATTCATGTGCTTTGGCAAGTACATATGAATTGGTAGATACAGTTGGGGGTAAAAAGAGTTGGGAACTTTTTAATTTTAGACTGTCCCAATGAGCGTTTAGCCTAATATACACAGACTAACTGGGTGGATGAATTGGTCCTTTTTATTGTTACACTCAGTCGATGACTCATCTGTGTGACAATTTCACCCCTTTTGAAGGGAGGATGTAGATGGACGAGCTTCTTGTCAACTGCACTGCATTCAATTCCCTTCTCTTCTCTCCAACCGCACTTGTCGACGAATTTTTGTGGGTTACCACTTTCGCGTAGACAGTTTTCAACAAAGTTCAGTTCTTTCTTAGTTTTTATCAGTTCTAGAATAACACAGTGCACAACCCCATCGTGTATATATATATATATATATATATATATATATATATATATATATATAATTTATTTTCGCTATCTTCTCTCCAATTTTCATTCTATTACTGTATAAATAGTTAACTTTTGGTTTATTAAAGTACGTTTCATGACACTTCATCATCAATACTATATTCTGTAGGTTATAAGGGAGCTGACGAGAATCCACGAAATACGTGCATGCTAATTCAGCTGTTGTTATTCTTCTTGTTTTATTCAAATTCGCGAAACGAAAGAATTGTGTGAAATTTGCCAAATGTATAGCATCATTAAACTCCATATAAATATCTCGATTATTTCAACATATTATTTGTTAGTTGATTGGAAGCAGTATGCAGGAGATCCTACTTCAACTAGCCTTCACCTATCTTGGAAGCACTGTTTCAACTACAGGTGGTACAGGCACAGACGAGGATGTCAAAGTCAGAATCGGAAAAGCAAGACAGGTGTTCATTAGCCTGAAAACAGTGTGGAGATCTTCTACACTGCACTCAGCATGTGGAACAAGATCCGGATTTTCAACACCACATCAAATCAGTGCTTCTGTATGGTTGAGAGACTTGGCACGCTACGAAAGGGATTTCCAACAAACCACAGACATTCATCAACAGTTGCCTACTCTGGCTCGTTACTGAAGATCAGATGGATTGCCAGAAAGAATGAGCAACAAGGAACTGTGGGAATGAACCAACCAAGAACCTATCGCTCAACAAATATGCAGAAGGAGGTGGAGATGGATTGGGCTGGGGATACACTGAGAAGGCCGACTGGGGACATCACGCATCAGGCCAGGCGCTTTAGTGGAACCCGGATGGGAAGTGACGAGTTGGGCGTCCTAGGCGAGGGTGACATGGAGGAGATCGTGCGAGGAAGAAATGAGAGCTTGTGGGCAGTCGTGGAACCAGGTCCAAAAGGTTTCAGAGAACATAGTTCACTGGAGACGTGCTACTGAAGCCCTATGTTCCACTGGGAACCCAAAGGACAAATAATAATAATAATGATAATAATAATAATATAATACTTCAACTGGGCTTTGCGCTTGTCAACACTCGTCAGCAAGGCCCTATCTGTAATCTCGAGGGAACTAATGTCCCCTATGAGATTGGAACCCGCGTCTCTCAGTGCTGCATTTAGAGTCTGGCTTATTCGAACCACAAGTAGTATTACTAATTAAATATTTATCACTAATACCAACTATTCGATCATTTACTGGGTTGCTTTCAGTTCATAATTTGTAAAATTTTATACATTTCGCTGAATTAAGTAGTCTTTTTATCCACTACAATTTTATAATACAGTCCACTACTTGTTTTGTAAACATCTACCTTCTTAAGATATCACATCAGTTGAAACCAGTCGATAAGTATAAAAATGTTATCATAATAAATTATCAATTGGTTTGGAGTTTTGTTAGTTAAATTGTGACAGTTTCAAAAAACCGGTTACTAGGAATTCTTCAACCTAGAAAAATTTTATGTATACTGATAGATTGACAAAATATTTACTTTAGCATTTCCATAAGTTGATTGCCAAATTTGATAAACTTTTCAGTCAGCTTGATAAAGCAGTGGTAACAAACGGTGGTAAATAAAATTTGATAAACAACTAAGAGTAAATAAAATTCTCTTGAGTTAGGAATAGACTGTTTTATTTCCTGTTGAAACAGCCGATTTATAACTGCTCAGTATCCAGACAGACTGTTACTATTTGACATCAGTTACAGTCTACTAAATTCACAAAAACTGTCCAAAACACCCGTTTTAACTCTACAAAACTTAGCAGCTTCAACTATCTATCATAAATTGAATGCTTTAACAAATGTGATTCATAAATTAGTTTGGGTATCAAGTAGTGATTAACCTTATCATTTCATTTTCAGAATTCTGTTATTAGGAGTATTGTTTAATCTATTTTGCTCAGTGATGCTTTAGAAGTGAAGACAGGAGTGAAGCAAGGTTGCCTACTATCCCCCATGATATTCCTGATTGTGGTCGACTGGATCATGCAGCAAACAGTGGGAAGCGAGAAGAGGGGGATATGCTGGCTGGACTGCGGAAAAGAACCTAGAAGACTTGGATTTCGCCGATGACTTGTGCCTGATGTCACATAAACTTGAAGATCTGCAGGCGAAAACTAACAAGTTGATAGAAGAGGCAGCGAAGACGGGACTTCAAGTGAACGTAGAGAAGACAGAGGTGATAATGATACCCAACCAACGCCACCACCACCAGCAACAACAAACTCCAGTCACCATCAACGTAAGAAACTTAAAGGAAGTAACCTCCTTCACCTATCTGGGAAGCACTGTTTCAACTACAGGTGGTACAGGCACAGACGAGGATGTCAAAGTCAGAATCGGAAAAGCAAGACAGGTGTTCATTAGCCTGAAAACAGTGTGGAGATCTTCTACACTGCACTCAGCATGTGGAACAAGATCCGGATTTTCAACACCAACATCAAATCAGTGCTTCTGTATGGTTGAGAGACTTGGCACGCTACGAAAGGGATTTCCAACAAACCACAGACATTCATCAACAGTTGCCTACTCTGGCTCGTTACTGAAGATCAGATGGATTGCCAGAAAGAATGAGCAACAAGGAACTGTGGGAATGAACCAACCAAGAACCTATCGCTCAACAAATATGCAGAAGGAGGTGGAGATGGATTGGGCTGGGGATACACTGAGAAGGCCGACTGGGGACATCACGCATCAGGCCAGGCGCTTTAGTGGAACCCGGATGGGAAGTGACGAGTTGGGCGTCCTAGGCGAGGGTGACATGGAGGAGATCGTGCGAGGAAGAAATGAGAGCTTGTGGGCAGTCGTGGAACCAGGTCCAAAAGGTTTCAGAGAACATAGTTCACTGGAGACGTGCTACTGAAGCCCTATGTTCCACTGGGAACCCAAAGGACAAATAATAATAATAATGATAATAATAATAATTTAATCTATTTTGAACTATATGTTTTCTTTATGACCCTTTTTTCTTGTTCTTACCTAAATCACATATGAATATATAGTTGAAGAAGTTATCAAGGAGAATATTCTTAATCCATTCAACTGTCTTATGAGATTCTCGGGAAAAAGATTTATGTCAGCTATTTTCACTTGACTATACGATAGGTGAGAAGACTGGTGTGAATCGTTCAAAGCACTTACACAGCACTCTACAGCCCACATGAATCAAATAGTCAATTAGTATTAATATGGTTTGTTCTCCATAACAGTAGAACTCAATATTCATTGCACCAAATACACTCCTCGAATGTTGTTGCTTACGCTAATATGAAAGATACCTGAAGTCTACATATAACCGTTTCAATGCTTATTCCCACCTACTACTACAAGTATTCCCAGTGGTGAACTGGAAATGCATTGATTTAAACAGTCACCTTGATTATATAACTGTGGATACTTACTGATACTTCTGATAGTATAAATTGGTCCTTTGTGGTTAGCAAAGCTAAAAACTGAACAACTTTTTAATGAATAGACGGTTATATTACTAAATAGCAAAATATCCAGATGGACCAACAAAGTCGGCTGGTTATAACTCAAACTTCGAACATTGCGCGCTCTTGTTATTGATAGTGAAACGTATCTGTGTAATGGCAGATGAAAGTTCATATCCGTCTCATGATTTGCAGTAAGTTTTAATGAGGTTATGCACATCAATAACTTGGTATATGGATTATATAATACCAAATACTACTTTGTAAACTCTAAAGAATTATCAATTTGACGGTGCTTGTAAAGTCGTATCTCTCATGGTAAATCCATTATATGAGAATAATAATTTTTATTATCTTGACATTGACGTTCTGTATATGCTGTAAAGTGGTATTTTCTTTGTCTCATAACCGCGATCTTCTGATGTTTTCATAGAGTTTAACGACCTCCTTTCTGTACTACTCAGGATCCATAAAATCTTGTAAATTGTTGGACATATATCAATGTGATGATGCCTGTAAACTGGCTTCTCTTATGTTAAGTTACTAATGTGAGAATAAAATATTTACTTATTTATACCCCAACTGATAAGTTTACGTTACTTCTTCGATTCAAACAAAAGTAAATTATTGAATCCAAGGAGAACGCGATGATATACTGCAACAGAATCTGTTGATTTAATAAAAACTTTTAAAGATTATTTCTTTTTGTAGCCCACTTAGACTAAGTGTTCATACTGACCAACAGATAAACTATATTGTTACTACAAACTCAACTGAAGTCTCCTCGTTGAAATACATGAAAAGGTGCTTCCTTGTACACGAAATGTCTAACATAAAACACGTATCATTAAGAGTCATTCACACTTGTCTGTTTGAAAACAAAGTCATTGACTGGATAAGTTAGTTCATCAGTCAAATAATAGGCTAACCATCAACCGTTATTCCTGGTAGTTAAACACAATCTATGACTATCAATGTCAGGTTATAATTACTGTAAATTTTAGCCTTTATTAAAGTTATAAAGAGAATAAGGAAATCTCGAGAATATGAGCTGTGAGCTTTTACTAAAATTTTCGTTGATCGCTTCACTTACAATTAGCAATATAACATAATATGTTATGCATTGAACAGTGATTTTGATTTACTCAATTCTTTTTTTTGTTTTATTTATTTGAAAAGCGGACGAGCTTAATTTGAAGAATGTAAAGAGTTTATTATATTGTTAATAAAATTTATAAGAAATGACTTATTAAAGGCATTATTTAGTTGATATGTTTACAAACATTATTGGGTGTAGTACATAACTTGATTTATGTACTATAGGTAACCGAAATTATTTATATACATATAGCTTCATTCTGCACTTACTTGCACATAAAACTATTGTTCATTGAACAGTGAACATCGAGCCTGATTCACGGCATCATTCGGCTCATCTGGTAGTGAGAAATCATTTTAAGACTTCTTCTATTGAGAATATTACTTACTTCATTTCCAACTGTTTCTTCTTTTATTGTCAATTTCTTTGTATTCTTGCTCATATTTCATCTTTACAACAGTAGTAGCTGTTCGTCATTATCATTACTATTATTACTACTACTTGTTATAGTAGTAGTACTGGTACTAGTATGACTTAATGGACAAACTGAAAAAATCATCAGTTTATGTACACACATACACATACATAGGTTTTTTTCATTCTAAACAGAGAAAGTTATATTTTATTGCAAGAAATCCGATTATTGACACAAGTAGATTAGGTATGATTTTTTTAACAAAGTAAAAATTTAAGGATAACGTTCTCAATCCTAGTTGTATGGATGAGTATTTGTGTATAACAATGTATATACTCGATATATTATTTTAGATAGTAAACACTGAAGATTCCATAAGGATTGTAACATGTTCATTCTTGAAATAATGATTCATAGATAGAAAGAAGGATTCATTTAGAGTGTGAGTAAATTTTAAACAGTTCCTATCATAAAAACATCACTATAAAAAAGAATATAACTAAAGTAAATATGACCTCTATTTTCTAATCACTTTTATTCTATAAACACAGTTATAGGTCTAATATTGTTCAGAAGGGAAGTATAGAAGATTTTCTATACTTTACTGATGCTTAGATTATATAGCTCAACTGGAAAACAATAATTTCATAACCTACTGATTGTATGTTTCATGTTTAACTCAGAACCAGGTATTCTTATGAATTCAATTATCAATGATTAATGCAGTGTTTTCTAGAAAGAGAGTTCAAGGATTTCAGTATGAATCCTTCGAAGGTAAAGCTGACGAAGTAAAAAGCCGTTAAGTTCTTAACTGAAAATATTCACCTAGAGTAAATGCTTTTAAAAACAGCTAGTATGGATATAATACAACGCAACCATCACCTACCGGTTCGTATACTAAGCGAAAGTTTACAGTTACTGTATGCTGAATACTAAGACTACTAACTGATTATTAAAACCTTCGTAGGTGAAACAACACTCAAAACTGTGAAGCTGACCTACCAATAGACACATGAACCAAATCTGTCTATTGCTTCATGACTATCATTGAGTATAGTCGATATGTCAAATAACTTGATTTATCTGTTGAATATTTCCAGTAAATG